TCACAGTCTAGATTATACTTCTAAAATAGATGGGATTGAATCTGAATGAAATTAAGGTGGCTTAAAATAGTTGGAAAAGACTAAATATTTATACAAAAGTTCCATGCTCATTAAGGGATCTATCCTCATGGTATCTAAAGTAGAGAAAGATGCCAAATCTTTGAAATTATCTCTAAACTGATTATGAAGATGGACAAAGATCATTGATAGACAAGAACCAATGTTTCTATTTTCCCATATACACAAAATTTCAATGAGAATAAGCCACACAAGCATCAGTGGCAACCTTTGTTTCTTTTTTTCTCCTTTTTATTCTTATTTCTATTGATGCCTCATTTTTATATCACTTTCATATCTTGAAAATGTTCTGCCTCCAGCAATCCGTGACTTCTGAGCAAATTTTTTTTAAAGAAAGAAAAAAATGTAGTTCAAAGACAACCAATATACCAACTGTGGCTGACACTACATGCAATATTCCATACCTAGAACCCCACCCCGACATCCTCACACACACATCTGTAAAGAGGAGAGAAAGGCACATTTTTTTTTAACTCAGTTCTTAAGCCAGTTTTGCTTATTATGATTTCACAGAATTTTGTTTTAGGAGTTTTTCCCCCCTTCTTTTTACATTATTGTAGCATCAACAGCACCTTGGCAAGGGGAAAAGGCAGATCTTTCCAGTGTGTATGAAAATAAATGTAAATCAAATTTATATGATGGTACAAGTCTAACTGGGCAGCCAGGTGGTGCAGTAGATAGGGTGCCTGGCCTGGAGTCAGGAAGACTCATTTTTTCTTAGTTCAAATTTGGCCTCAAACTCTACCTGTATGACTCTGAGCAAGTCACTTAACCCTCATTGGTAAAATGAGCTGGAGAAGGAAATGGCAAACTACTCTTTACCAAGAAAACTCCAAATGGGGTCACAAAGAGTCAGACACAACTGAAACAACTGAACAACAACAACACAACGCTAACTGTGATTACAGGTGTTCTGTAATCAGAATTGGATTTAAATAATCATTGCCTCCTAGTGGGGCAGAGCTTGAGGAGACCTCAGAATCACATAACCATAGCTGGAAGGGACCTTAGAGATGATCTAATCCATTGTCTTCATTTTGTAGGTAAGGAATATCTAGCTGAAAATTTACTTTCAAAATATCCATAGAAAGCTAGTGACTTCTTTTTAGAAGCTCTTTTTAGGAGCTCTACTAAAATAAAAACCTGTCCCTTAAATGAACTTCACAGAAAAACCTTGGAAGAGAATTGCAAAGACTTACACAAATGCTTTGCCCCGCATCCATACGTGGCATCATCATAAAGGGCCTGCAGCAAACCAGAAATATGAACAATATGGTTTCAGATATGAAATACATCATATGATGAGTCTTATTTAATGTTTAAAAATCTATCATAGGTTTCTAATTAAAGTTAAGAGGATCTTGGTGGTGACTTTCCTTTTACAGTATATGTTTACCATGAGATTAATTCTGACTGATTGATGGATGGGTGGGTTTATGTAAGATTTGTTCAGAATATTCTCTTTGGAAACCCAGACAACCTTTTTCATATTATAGTGGTGCTCAATCCACCAAAATTATTCAGTGAATTTTATTTTAGTGAGAAAACAAAAAAGTAAGTTTATATTTTTAACCTCAGAAAGTTTTAGTAATTTAAACTAGCAAATTCCCTTGCCTACTGTGCAAGTAATATTTAAAGGAAGCTAACATTTGTAGCTCACATTCCTATGGAGCTTAAGAATGTATTAAGTGTCCTCACATCAAACCCATGAGGTAGATAATACCAACATTGTTATCCGCATCTGAGGAAACTGAGTCTTGGAGGTTTAGCGACTTGTCCAGGATCACATTGGTAGTATGGATAGGAATGGATACCAGACCTCCTGTGATTTCGTTAATATAGGGAACAATGACCCTTCTGGATGAGAAAACTCGCTCTATCAATGCAGATCAGCTCCATCTCTGAAACAGCTTGTGTGCTACCAGAGCACTGAGAGGTTAAAAGATGTTCCCAGAGCACACAGCCATTATGAGTCAGAAGCAGGTGTCTCTGGCTCCATGGCCAGCTCTCTATGCAGTACTAGGGCTGTCTCTCACATAGCCAGGAGGGATCAGAACCGAGACTTCACCCTAGATGTCCTTGCTCCAAGTCTAGTGCTCTTTTGATCATTGGGATTACTGTTGATATGTGCCCAGCTGGATCACATTTTCCATTCCCAAATCCCACCTCAGACTCTTAGTAGCTCTGTGACCCTGGGCAAGTCACTTAATCTCTGTTTGCCTCAGTCTGCTCATCTATAAAATGGGGATAATAATAGCACCTGCTTCCCAAGGTTGTTGTAAGGATAAAATGATACAATAATCATAAAGCACTTAGGCACAGTGCCCACTACATAGTAAGTACTATCTAAATGTTAGATTATTGTTATTATCTATGAATGAGGCCAAAACTTACTTAGTGCTACCAGGTTGGTGGGAAAAATGCATTTGGAAGAAATCAATGGAATCAACATTATGAAAGGATTCTCTGCTTTAAGTATTCTTCAGAATTTATTTAAGTTGGTCTCTGTTACATGTAAATATTCTTTTATTAGTTATTAGGCAGTTAAAGTCATGGAACACAACCTAATGTAGTGGATAGAGAGTTTGCCACAGAATCAGGAAAACTTTTGTTCAAATCTGACACATACTCCTGGCAAAGTCACTGGACTTTTTAGTGACCCCAGATGACTCTCTATGACTAAATTACAGATAAGGGGCTGGCATACATTAGTAGGAGTTTCTTCATCCAAGGAATTGACTAATCAGTGATCATAGATGCTGTTTCAAATGCTATTCCCAGTCAGGAAATAATTAGCTTATAGAATGTTGGAGGTGGAAGGAACCTAAGAGTGTTAGTGTAAAGAAAGGAAGATTTGATTCTCCCTCACTCCAGCCCAGGTGATGTAGAACATAACACTACACACCAACCTAGTTATTTCCACCTTTAATCAACTGGTTTCCCTCTTCTAGAATACTCTCCCTCCTCTTCTCCATCTATTCAAATAATGCTCATTCTTTCAGGCAAAAATTGAATTCTTTCTTCTTCATGAAACTTTCCCTGAGTGGTCTTCTTCTTTCATGATCTTGTAGTTTGCATCTCAACATTTAACGTATTTAGGCCATCTTCTGTTATTTCTTATTATTTCATGGTAGTAATCTCTGGATTAGTTCCGTGGTAGTAATAATAGTGTCTTACACTTTGCTTTCCATCCACACTTAATCTCAAACACCTAGCACAATGTTAGGTACATCAAGTAAGTGCTCATCGAATTGTTGTTCAGTCATTTTCAGTCATATCTTCATGACCCCTTTTGGGGTTTTCTTGGCAAAGATACTGGAGTGGTTTGCTATTTCTTTCCCCAGTGGATTAAGGCAAACAGAGGTTAAGTGACTTGCCCAAAATCACACAGCTAGCAAGTATTTGAGACTGGATTTGAACTCAGATCTTCCTGACTCCAGGTCTAGTGCTCTATCCTCTGAGCCACCTAGTTAACCTACTCATTGAATATTTGATTAATTATGTCAACCAAGTTGGACAGTTATTGAATAGATGTGCCACAGAGGTAAACACAACCTCAACTACCCAGGGGCAGTCATATTAGATCCTGCCCCTGTTTGTTGTGGAAGGTGACATTTGGTATCACATTCTATTTTATTTTCTATGTGGTTTGAACTCATTAATATCTGCATATGTATTTTCACCGTATTTCCAGTTGACTCTTATGTAACTGAAAAACTTATCATAGGATTGGAATGTTAGATCTAGAAGAGCCTTTCAAAATTGGGTAACTCAAACCTCTCATTTTATATATGTAAAAACCCTGTGGCCCAGGTGAGAATTTCCTCTTCCTATCAAGGGTTCTTAACTCTTACCTCATGGGGACTGAGTCTATCTCCTAGAGGAACCTGAGAGTTAAGAAAGGGAATCAGCCTCTTTTCACACTGTCTTGTTACACTTCTCAGGGCTTAGGTTTGACTAATGGCTATGGTTTCCCCAAAATGGTTTAACAGGATCTCTTCTAGGTTTTTCTGAGAAGACAAACTAGGCCATCTTTTGCCTCATTTCTTACCTAACTTTAAATCACTGAATGGGTGTTGCCTCAGACAAAACGAGATCTGGGAAAGACCTTAGCTTAAACATGTCAAGGTTATCCACTGCACCCAGGGCCTTTTCTAATCATCTTGACCTTTGCCTTGCCACTGGACTCCAAATGATTCTGGAGGAGAGAGTGAGGCTCATGACTTTGCACAGCCCTGCCTCGCTTAAATTCAATTCACTTACAAGTCGAGACATCACCCTCCTGATGTCATTGGCCCTCTTCAAGATTGAAGCATGAGGGCAGCTAGGTGGCCCTGAAGTCAGGAGGACCTGAGTTCGAATCCGGCCTCAGATCAAACACTTGACACTTACTAGCTTTGTGACCCCGGGCAAGTCACTTAACCCCAATTGCCTTAAAAAGAAAAAAAGAATGAAGGACGAACAATAACAGCATACAAAACAAAACAGGAATGGGGCAACTATTTGTTTATTCTACCACAAGAAATGCTTGAAATTCAAAAGACCCATAAACATACACTGACAAATATTTGAAACATTACAGAATAACCCAGAACTCCCAAGAGGTTGATACTTAAAACATGAAACACTTCCTGGGATTATGTCAGCATTTTTTCCCACACTTTTCACTTCTGATGTGGACAATCCAAATAACTCACTCTAGGTCTGTATCCTCTGTTCATCCATGAAAGCATGGCTCTTCTTCCTAGAAATAGTCAAGCTCTCCTCTGGAAAGAATACAACTACAGAAAGCACCTCCCAATGATAGGACGTCCTGACTTCTTTTTTTTTTTTTTCTTTTTAGGCAATTAAGGTTAAGTGACTTGCCCAGGGCCACACAGCTAGTAAGTGTCAAGTGTTTGGTTGCAGGCCGGATTTGAGCTCAGGTCCTCCTGACTTCAGAGCCGGTGCTCTATTCACTTTGCCATCTAGCTGCCCCCTCCTGACCTCTTGAATTCACAAGGTAGCTTCCAAGGCCAGAAGTACCTATCTCAAGACTGATGTTCAGTCATCTATACTCAAGGAAAGAAATACAAAGCAGAAAAGCCAGCCAGGGACTTGAGATTCAGTCTCTGACTCATCAGGGTAAGTCCATTTACTTACTGCCTTGTTCATGTCATTATTATTATTCTCATGGAGTGGAGGGAGAGGATAAAGATCCCCTCCCCCTCTTTCTTAAAATCAGACTCAATGGTCTCTAAGGTCCTTTTAGTTCCAATAATCCACGAACTTTCTTTCCCTGACCTAGAGGATATGATTTGGCTGAAAGGACTATAGTAGGGTCCTCTCAAAGGAATTCATTCACAATTGGACTGAATAGACAGCCCATGAAAACTTTGTATCTTAGTATGAACTTAATTTTTCTCCCTAGGGGGAATGCTGCTCGTTCATTCATTCATTCATTCATTAATGGAAATGTCTTGTGATTTGGAGTATGTGCCGACATTCTGTAATGGGTTCCAGTCTTTTAAACACATGATAAGTAGGAGTGCTTCTGATTGGCTATGGTTATATAGCCAAAACTGAGGGTACATTCAAAAGACACTGGTCAGCCAGAGTCTTATTCCTTCTCTTCAGGGAACTTCTTCATATCTAATGGTATCCAGTGAGAGGAGAGAGACAAGGCTATACAGTGGAGAAGTGTCAGGCCCTCCCCACTGAAGCTGACTTGTATCCTATGAATATAAACTTCACTTCCTTACCTCAGTGTTTGTTCTTTCATTTTGTATGCAGGAAATAGAGTTCAGAAATTGTGAGTTTCAAGAAGTCAAAGAGTGAGCCGCTTAAAAGGTCTGGGAGCAAAATCCATGCTGCGTTTTGAGTCAGTCAGTTCAGCTTTGAGATGTAGGGGAGAAAAAAGTGACCTTTGGAACCCGGCCCAACAGCAATTAAGATGAGGACTCATCCGGCATCAACACAGCGTTTGGATGTGGATATAAAATTAGTGGTATGTAGAAAATGTGTTAAGTCTGAGTCAAATCTCTCCAGAGAACAAGGTGGCATAAGGAAGAGTATATGTCCTAAGTGTTAGGGGAAGGGGGAGAGGATTATATTTCTCTTTTTGGTATAGTTTCAAAATATATATCTCTTTGAAAAATCTAACTGATGTCAAATTGAACTAGGAAGTTAGTTATTGGCTAACAGTGGGTAAAACATACCTGGAATGGGCGCTCAAGCCAATGGAATTTGAGAAGAGATACTCTACTTTCTCAGGAATATTCTTTGAAAGCTGGGAGACATACACAGTTTCTTTTTATTTATATATAATTCAAACATATAGTAGATTTCAATTAAGTATAACTTTGGTTCTAAATATTCCACCCCCATTTCTGTAATGCTTTCAGTTAAAAACAATTATACAAGAGCAAATACAAAAAATATGAAGTTATGAAAACAAACCCATTAAGACTCCCTTTACATATGTTTTATAGGCTCAAACAAATCAAGGTTTTTCAGAATAGAAGAATAAAGTCATAGTGTAGCTTAGCAAGCAACAGGAATTTGTTACTATGCTTTCGAAGTGGGAGACAATAAAACTTCCAAATATCTTAAGAAGATAGAAAAGCAGTTAAAATAAAATGTTGGACCATTGCAAAATTAAAACAGAGCAAATAGAATTGCTTAGAAGACTTTTACAAATTCTGACTTGTGTAGCATTTTGATTTTAAGAGAGTTTTTGCTTGCATGTTTTAACTTAGTTTCTCTTGGAGAGTGAAGCTAAACTGCTTTTTATAAAAGCAAGATTTAGAGCTGATATATACATTAGATAGTTCTCATTTTGCAAGTGAATAAACTGAGGCCCAGAGAAATGAAATACCTTGTAATGGTCACAGAAATAGGAAGAGGTAGAGGCCAGATTGACACCCAATTTTTTCTGATTCCTTCTACTGCATAACCATCCTGCATTATAATACATAGGACTAGAATTATCACAAAATAAATACCTACATGTCTTAAGGAGTTGGCTTTTCTGTCATATGTCTATTGACAAAGAGTCATATTTAAAAATATCTCCCCAACCTCCCATCTACCTATTCCTACTTGGTTTTTCAATTCAATTAACCTAGGCTTGGTTTTTCAATTCAATTCAGTAAAAATTGGGAAAGTCAGTCAGTCAACAGCAATTTATTAATTTCATATTATATGTGAGGCACTGTGCCAGGTCCTGGGTGTACAAATACAAGTAGAAAGAAAGTCAGTCCCTGCCCTCAAACAGCTTACTTTCTAATGGAGGAAGATAATGCATAAAAGGAAGCTGAAAAGATGTGTGTGGGAGAAATAAAAGTACCCATTTTGGGGGCATGGCAGAGGTAGTTTGAAGTGCAGCTTTGAGAGAAATGAGACATGAGTGGTTTGGGCACTCTCTTTAAATAGAGGTTTTGGAAGGAGCCATCTAATCAGAGGGAGAAATTGCAGGGGTGGAAGGTACTTCCAATATGAATGCTAGGATTGGAGTGGGGCTTCAAGATGGAGAGGTACGGCATGGAAGAGGAAATCCGGGGTGCGGTCTGGAGAGGAATGAGAGGAAAGGACAGTAGTATAGCAGAAATAGCACTAGTTTTCAAATCAAAGAACTTGGGTTCAAATCCTGCCTCATACTGACTGTATATGTTTTGTCAAGTTATGTGGTTTCCATTCCAATTTTCCATCAACAAATACATATTAGGCAACTGCAACATGCCCTTGTGTTAGGTGCTGAGGGTACAAATACAGAAGCAAAAGCAAGCCCTGCTCTCAAAGAGCTTATATTATAGTTGGGAAAGAAAGCATGTGCATATAAATATTTGTTTTTGTTCAGTCATTTCAGTCACATTTGACTCTTCATGACTCATTTGGGATTTTCCTGGCAAAGATACTGGGGTGGTTTGCCATTTCCTTCTCCAGCTCATTTTACAGATGAAGAAACTGAGGAAAATAGGGTTAAGTGACTTGCCCAGGGTCACATAGCTACTAAGTATCTGAGGCTGGATTTGAACTCAGATCCTCCTGACTCCAGGGCCAGCACTCTATCCACCTGTGCCACCCAACTGCCCTACATAGACATAAAGATGTAAAAAATATAGATACCAAATAGATACATTATGACTTTAAGGAGAAGACATGAGCAGCTAAGGACATCAAGAAAAGTCTTCATTTACAAGATGGCACTTGAACCTCTGAGCCTTGAAGGAAGCCAAAGTTTCTGATAGATGGAGGTGACAAAGGATTGCATTCTGATCATGAGAGACAGTCAACAAAAAGGTTAGAAGATGAAGTGATGTGTATGAGGAAAAGCAAGGGAGCCAGTTTGTCTGAACTGCAGTGTGCATGGAGGAGAGAAATGTGCAGGTAAAGCCAGAAAGGTAGGTTGAAGCCATCCCATGAAGGGATTTAGATGCCTAACAAAGGAGTTTATGTATGATCCTGGAGGAAATAGGGAGCCGTTGAGTTTATTAAATGTGGGGGTGCGGTTGGGGTGGAGAGCAGCAAATATCCCTTTGGGAAAAATCTTTGTTGTTGAATTATTTTCAGTCATGTCTGACTCTTTGTGATACCATTTGGGGTTTTATTTGCAAAGATACTGGAGTAGTTTGTCATTTTCTTCTCCAGCTCATTTTACAGATGAGGAAACTGAGGCAAAGAGGGTTGTGACTTGCCCAAGGTCACACAACTAGTCAGTGTCTGCGGACAGATTTGAACTCATATCGTCCTGATTCCACAGCCAACCTATATTCACTGTGCCACCTAACTTCCCTGATTGATGTTAATTAATTAAATGGCACTGGGGAGTTAGTTAATTGTTGGTGGCTAACAGTGAGGGGGTTTATTGAATAAGAGGTTAGTCGTGCACTGTAGGAAAATCATTTCAGTGGCTATGTGCATGATAGATTGGAGTAGGGAGAGTTCTGAGGCAGGGATGCCAATTAGCAAACTCTTGTAATAGGTTAGGGAAGAGGTTAGTTCAGGACCTAGAATGGTGGTAGTGTGAGTAGAAAAGTGACATGTCAGAGATGTTGTGGAAGTAGAAATGCCAAGATTTGTCCACTGATAAGGTATATGGAAAAGGAGAGAGATGAAGATGACACTGAGGCTGTAAATCTGGGTGACTGGGAGGGCTCTATGTACTGCCTCCCCAAAGAAATACAGAAGTTTCCTCATCTCTAAAATGAGATGATTGGGCTGGATGGTCTCTAAAACTCCTTCCAGATTTAAAGATTATGATATGCATTTATTAGGTACCATACTAAGCACAAGGTATATACAAAGACAAAAATCAAATAGCCCTTGCCCTCAAGGAGCTTACATTCTATTGATAGGAAATAGCACGTAGGCTGAGAAGTAAATACAAAACAGATAAATCTGACTAGTATCATGCCTCTCTCATACACAAGTAATGAATTCATCTATTAAAATATTATTAAAAATTGCTCAGGGGCAGCTAGGTGGCACAGTGGATAGAGCACTGGCCCTGAAGTCAGAAGGACCTGAGTTCAAATCCAGCCTCAGACCAAACACTTGCCACTAACTGTGTGACTCTGGGCAAATCACTTAAATTGCCTTAAAAAAAAATTGCTCAGACTAAGAGAAGACAAGCCTGCTTGTTTCAATGATTCCATTTTACACTTTATATATTCTTCCTAAAACATGGTCAGTAATGGCACTTCTCTGCAGCTTGTCCCTTAACTGGAAGTGTGGAATTGGCTGCATTGTTCTGAAGTTCAGTCTGTCTTCAAGGCTCTTACCTTCAGTGTAACTTTTTGCAAACCCTTAGAGTCTGGTATTAATAATAAATATGATTGCCATGCATCCTTATTTTTTACTTAATTTAATTACAGAAAATGCAATAGCCTTATGAAAACAATATATGCGTTTTCAAACCTAATTAACATAATACAAAGTGCCCAGGTCAGTAAAACTGTTGTTTTATCTGGAAACCTTCCATGCAAATAGATAAAAACAAAACTGAATTTAATTCAACAACTTTAGTTAACAGGCAAATCAAAGATGACTGGTTCTAGCCTGGGGGCTCAGTCTGCCTCGTAATAAATACTTTCCTTTTGTCATGATTCAAGAGAAAGAGAGAGATATGCAAACCCTATCAAATACTCTGAGCTATGGTCAAGTCAGCCGTGACCAGAGCTCAGTCATTGGACCAATTCAAGATTACTAAACCACAATCAGCCCAGATGTAATTGAGCCCTGATCTGCCTGCCTGCCCTTTGATTTTTAAATGTGATATCCACCTCTGTCATTCCTTGACAATTCCGCCTTGCGTCAAACCTCAGACTTCTCAGGGTTTTGTATCTGATGTTCTTTCCACGTATTTCCCTTAGAGTTGGGCCTTCTCCGGGTAACAGTGAAACTCTGGGCTGTTGGCACAAACCCTCTCATTAACAGATCTGTTTGTTTGGGCCCATGGGAAGGGCCTGGACTCATTTGCTTCCTATCCACTCCACAATATTTTTCTAGTTCTCCTTTATAATGGAATGCTGCTTTCTTCATGCATAGTTACTTGTTCATTCATTCATTCATTCATTTGACAAACAATTCTTAAGCACTTACCATAGTAATAAAGCACAAACCTTCTCTCCTCACTCCCCTCAGTCTTACTTTGCTATTTTTATTCCCAGAGCTTTCAAATGGCATTTATTAAACACCTAGCGTATACTAAGCTCTAGGAATGTGAACTCAGTTCGCACACATATACACACATACACACACATACATACTTACAGATATCTATAGCTTATAACTTATATCCTGAAATAAATATATATTTACATCATATATGTATACAAGTCTGCACATAATATGCATTATACACACATGTACGTATATGTGTGTGTACAGTTATACATGTGTGTCTATTTGTGCTCATTTTTCCCCCTGCACTAACTTTGCTGTCCAGTCAAACTGGCTGTCTTGCTATTCCTCCTACACAGCACTCTATCTCCGGTGTCTCTGCCT